ACAATCTTGAGGAACATGCCATTTGTGATGTTATAATTATTACATTGCCTAAAATTGCAGGGAAGCCAATTGCGGGGTGGTGGGTGTGGGGGAGATAAATAGTTAAATTGCCATCTGACTTTGATATAATGGTTGGACCCAAAGAATATAATGATACTTTTATATTTAATGTAGCTCCATAACATGTCAAAACATCTCAAAGCGCTTCACAATTTATTCTAAAGTGTGTATTTATAGGCAAACACAGCAGCCAATTTGTGCACAGTGGCAATGTCACGCAGACAAGAAGTAACTTTCAATGCCAATCTGAACAGACCTTTGGTTTGGCGTCTCATCTGAAGGATGGCATCTCCGACAATGCACTGTTCCCCAGATGCGCACTGGAGTGTCAGGCATAACTATGAGCTAAGTCTTAACATTGGATTTTGAACCCACAACCTTATGACTTACAGAGAAAAGTAGTACCAATGGAGTCAGGTTGGTATCGTTAGTTACTACCATTGTTGTCACTGACACACATGTATAGTCAGGCAGAGCTGCAGTTGTAAAAGGTATTTGGTTAAAAACTTTACTCACAGAAATAACATGGGATACTACTACTATAAAACTAATCCTTGCATTTGATATAGTGCATTTCACATCAGGAGGACATCTCAAAACCCTTTACAGGATCTAACTGTGAAGTACGTATTTTGTATGTTTCACAACAATCATGGGATGAGTGACCAATTTTATTTGGGGGATTGTTGGCCTGGACACTGGGAGAAACTCCATTCTCTTTTCGAATAGTGCCATGGGATCTTTAACATCCACCTAAACGGACAGATGGGACCTTGGTGTAAAATCTGATCTGAAGGTCATAATATGGGAAGTCAAGTAATAAATATGAAAACAGGCCTTATTCAAATTGACACAAAGTTGTTGATCAGATTACTGAGTCCATTATTCAAGCTTGCTTTTTATTCCACGCACCTCTGTTTACCTAACAGTAAGTAGGAAAATGGTTGTTAGTCGATTGGCGGATCACTTTCTGGGAGTAATAATTCCATCAAAAAATTTTAAAAAAAATTTGGTCACACAATCCATTTTGTGAGCAAATGGGGCAATTGGCTGCCACATTTTGCCTATAAAATATGCAGTCAATTTACTTTACAGTATATTCTGTGAAGCTCTTTGAGTCGTGGCACTATATCAAAAGCGAAGATTATTTTTTTATAGAGTTTGATCCTTGTTTAATTCAGAACAAACCATTTCCAGCAAATTATACCAACGGTTCCTCACCGCAGCCAAAGTAGAGATTGGATGGTTAACGTGAAATGCTTGCACAAGCAATCAGTGTCTATTGGAGATGATTGAATTGGAAGTGTTTGATAATTTAACACCAGTAAACATGGACCAGATGGAAACCAACATCCTCAACTCCCATCAAAACCTCTTTGCTTCTGGCTCTGCCTCCATTCCTATCTCACAGCCATTACTAACAACAACAACTTGCATTTATATACCACACAATAATGTAGATGTCAATCTGGCTCAGTTGGTAGGTAGCCCTCTCACCTCTGAGTCGAAAAATTATGGTTCAAGATCCACAACGGGACTTTGAGCTCACAGTCTGGGCTGACATTCCAATGCAGTGCCATCTAGGCAGATGTCAAAAATGTCATGGTACTATTTAAAAAGAGAAGGGAGTTTCGTCTGACGTCCTGGCCAACAATTCCCCAAGATACAATTAGCCACTCACTTCTTGGCTGTTTGTGGGACATTGCTGTGTGCAAATTGGCTGCAGCTTTCACCACTGCACAGATACTACACTTTACAGTAAATCCTGTGAAGAGCTCTGAGAGTCTCGACAATGTAATAAGGCTCAATATCAAATGCAAGGATTTTCATTATTATTACGTATCTCTCTTTTTAACATCCCGATCGATTCTGCTTGTCGGACCTTGTGGGATAGTGGCATTGCATATTCCCACAACCCTCTGTGTGAAGAAACATTTGCACTGATTACAGTCATATTGTCTATGTTTGAAGATACAGCTGAAAATTCAAGTGCGGTCGGAGGATGCAAGAAGGATTTTTAGGCAAATAGCAACAAAACAACCTGCATTTTTTGAGAGGAAGCACTATAATTTGACCTGTATGCTTATCAGAAGACAGCTATCAGCTCAGCTCATTATCCTTTACCAAAGGAATGTGCTCCTTGTGGCAAGAATCATGGCTCACACATAATTAATCCGGGCGAAGAGCATTTATTAGTTTAACCTACTACTGGCTCTATTATCTGTCCAGAATGAAAACAATGGCGAGAGAGACCCTAAAAGTGCCCTCCTCCCTACTTATAATATAATAATAATCCTTGCATTTGTTATAGCACTTTATCACATTGTTGAGACATTTCAAAGCGCTTCACAGAATGGACTGCAAACTAAATTGACTGTATATTTTGTGGCATTACTTTGATATATTATACTGTGTCCTGCAATTAACATGAGCAACGCTCTATGAAATCTGCAAACTTTACCCCCGGATACCAAAAAGTTATTATTTTTGTTTTGGTCACCCAGGTGTCCGACACACGCAGGAATCAGAGCAATTAACAGCACAGAAGAAAGCCATTCGGCCCATCAAGTCTGTGGCAGCTCCTTCAAGAGCAATCCTTTCCGTCCCATTTACCTGCCCTTTCCCCCATACCCCTGTGGCTCACAACTCTTAAGGTATTTGTCTAGTTCAATATAGATTCTGCCTCAACCACAGCTCTCGGCAGGACATTCCATATCCTAATTATTCTGTGCATGAAAAATATTTTCCTTGAATCCCCATTTGCTCGTTTCCCATCTTAAATGAATGGTGGGCAAGTTTCCTTACTCCACACACCTCTGTTAGTCGATTAGCAGATCGCTTTTCCGGGGGTAATAATCCGTTAAAAATAAATTAATTAATTTGGTCACTCAATCCACAACTGTTTGTGAGACGCTGCTGTGTGCAATTGGCCGCTGCATTTCACCCATAAAATATACAGTCAATTCACTTTACAGTATACTTGCAAAGCACTTTCAGTCATCTCGAAGACATGATAAGGCGCGATATCAAATGCAAGGATTAATATTATTAGTATGATTACATTGAATGGATGTACAATCCTGTCGTCACAGAAGTAACAGGACTTTGTGAACCCTGTACACGCTGCTACTGACAGATGCATCAAGAGTTTCAATGTGAAAACGGGTTCAAAGTTAAGTACAATGTGACTCTGAACTGCCTTTGATGGTTGACAGAGGGGAAGCAGATTTATGAGGAGTTAAAGGTAAAAATACGTCTGCATCTGCCCCTGTACATCAAAGAGAAATGCAATTAACATCCGTCTAACTCTACTTTGCCAAGTCTCGCAGGCAGTGCCTGCTGCAGATGAACTCATAATTTGTAACAGCACCGATTCAATTGTTGCAAGGAACTTCCATTTCACAGAGAAACAGAAAAGCCTCCAGGCATTTATTTCCACAAAATGACCCGAGTTAATTAATGATTTCAATTTCAAGACTTCTTTTAATTAACTGGAGTCATTAAATAGGAAAGGTGTTAAAAAAAATTCTCATTAAGAGTTCCTTTTTATTGGTTCCATTGTAAAACACCGTCTAATTGACAAGACGGTACTTCCAACAAAACCGCCCGCGACATTAGATCAGGAGACTGACAGTGCTCGCATCTGGGTTTCTGAATGAAAATAATTAAATTCAATAATAATGCAAAAGAAGCACACCGATCCATCATGTCACCCCACCCCTGTACGAACAATCGTGCCTGGCTGAACTCCAATAGAGAAATTTTGTATAAATATGCCAATTACGGGGACGTAATCAACTTCAGGTCTCCCCGTGAGTTTAATAAACCTGGGAACCATCTATCGTTCTTTATCTAGACTATTTATAACAAAGGCAAGAAAATAAACGCTTCCCCCTGTGGTGTATTAGACGTTTGTCCTTCGCTTTATTCAGGCTTTTATTTGAAAATTAATTTTCGAGCGATTCCTTACTTAACCCGGGATTTGGTAAACGGAAAAAAAGTAATCATGTAAAGGGATACAAGCGCTACGTTTATAGACTGTGAACCACTCCTGGCCAGGCAGGTGAAGTGAGCTCTTTAAGATGTGGAGCAATGGCACTGCAGTCTGTAAGAGATGCATTTGCCCATCATACCGGCATTTGTGTGTTAGAAAATCCTCTGCTCATCAAAAGGAGTCAACCAAAATTCCTTTCTGTTGTTGTACTTTGAACCCTCCCCCCTCACCCCCACATACACACACACACACTCACACACGCACTGCAGATGCTGCCAGCCCCCTACCCCACCTCAAGCATGACTCTTTCTGTCTTAGAAGCAGCGATGATAACATCAGTGCTGAAAACTACAGTACTGTGACTTTTTTTTGTCTTGAATGCAGTGCAACAACAACAACTTGCATTTATATAGCACTTTTCAAGTAGGGTAGCGTCTCAAAGTGCTTAACAATGGCAGAGCTTGATGGTGAGCGGGGGAGCGAGAAGAGAGGGGAGGTGACAATAGGCATGGGTCAAAGAGGAAGGTCTTCAGATGGATAAAGAAGGGTCAAGGTAGAGGGATTGAGGGAGAGAGCTCCATCATTTCGGGATGTAGTGGCTGAAAGCACGGCCGCTGATGGTGGGCCAGAGAGGATGAAGGACATAGAATCACTGACGTGAAAAAAAATCAAATCCACATTTAGCATTGCTTTGTCTCTTTGGCGTCCCTCATGTCGTGAGGAAACACAAGATATTAACAGAGCGACAAATCTGCACAGTGCCTAAAGAGGAAGTATAATTTGTATTGTATAAATGCAAGTTGTTGTTGCTGTTGTAATGGGAAGACCAATTTCAGGATCGGCCAGTGTGTTGATTTCTATCCTGTCAGGGACATGCAGAGTGTTCCTGCTACATCTTTGCTAGAACAATACAAACACATAAATCACTGTCGGTCTCGTACATTACCTTGCTCCATATGGTAAATGATGAGCCGGGCCAGAGTTACTTTAAGGATCGACTCTCCGTGACCTGTCGTTGAGACTGCACCCACCTGGTTATCAGCATAACCGCCTGAACCTAAGTTGAAATGAGCACAGAATATACTGAGCACAGAATACATTGAACAAACATCAGGCAACATCAGTCCAGTTGTCTGCTGAATAGTACTATGGTCCTGCCACCCAGTGACGCATTACGTTTTCTCTTAATAATAATAATGATCCTTGCATTTGATACATCTTATCACGACTTTGGGACGTCTCAAACCTCTTCACAGAATAAACTGAAAAGCAAATTGACTGTATTCCATCACCTCCGGAATATCGCCAGACTACGGCACTCCCTCACCTCTCACGCTGCTGAAACTCTGGTCCACGCCTTTATCACCTCAAGGCTGGACTATGGGAACTCTCTCCTCGCCGGCCTTCCCGGCACCTCCCTCCACACTGCAGGTCATTCAGAACTCTGCAGCTCGTGTACTGTCCCGCACCAGACACCGCGACCACATCACTCCCACCCTCGCTCGCCTCCACTGGCTCCCCATCCCCCAGAGGGTCGAATTCAAGATCCTCATCCTCACCTACAAGGCCATTCACGGCCTCGCTCCCCCCTACCTCTCCAACCTACTATCCCCCTACCTACCTGCCCGTACCCTCCGTTCCTCTGGCTCCGGTCTGCTCCACATCCCCCGCCCCAACTGCCCTACCATCGGTGGTCGGGCCGTCAGCCTCTCAGCCCCTCGGCTCTGAAACTCTATCCCCCAGTGCCTTCGCCGCCTCCTCCCTTTCCTCCTTCAAGGCCAGTCTCAAGACCTTTCTCTTTGACTGTGCTTTCAGCTCCCCTCTCGACTCTCTACCCCCTCCTCGCTCCCTCCCTTCCCTCCCCCTGACCATTTCCCTCCTGCTCGGGTCCTGACCCAACTGTACAGCGCCTTGGGACGTCCTCCCGACGTGAAAGGCGCTCTATAAATGGAATCTTGTTGTTGTTGTTGTATATGTTGTGGGTGAAACACGGCAGCCAATTGCACACAGCAGTGACCCACAAACAGTCATGGATTGAGTGACCAAATTATTTATTTATTTACTTATTTTGAAGGGTTTATTACCCCCGGAAAGCGATCCGCCTATCGACTAACATCCGGGTTCCTACTTACTGCTAGGTAAGCAGAGGCGTGTGAAGTAAGAAAACTTCCCTAAGGTTTCACCCTGTCTGGGAATCGAACCTGGGTCATCTTCCTTGCGAGGCGAGCGTGCTAACCACTACACTACAGGATTACAGGACTCCACGATCTCCTGATACGATGACTGTACAATACGATCAAAGAGATAAGTCTTGAGGTGAGCTTTGTATGTGTGCGCGCGTGTGTGGGTGTGGTGGGGAGAGGTCAGAGGCACACCGAGATAGAGTTCAAGGACATCTCAAAGCATTTTGTAGGATTTACTGCAAAATGTAGTGACTGTACACAACAAGATACATTTATATCACACCTTTCACGTTTAACAAGACACTTAACAATAACGGCTTGTTACCTAGTGTGTAACATAGGCAAACGAGGCAGCCAATTTATGTATAAAATGGCTCACAAGAATGTCAGCCTGGGCTTTGAGAACACTCCCCCAGTGCAGAGCTTGCTTAAACCCATGATTTCTTGATCCCAAACCCTTTTGTGATGAAGCCAGAACACAAACGGTCCTTCAAAAATAACATGTTGGCCCATGGAAGTGTTAAATTATTAATGCTTTGTCTTATTCTGAAGAACCTCTCTTGTCATTTGCACCTCCGCATTGAAGCACCAGTGTGTTTCTCAAGCGGTTGTTGTCTGAAGGGGAAATTAATTAAATATATCTACTCCGGTTGGTTTAGAGAATGGAGATTCTCCCGGTTTGTTTCCTGGCCAACAATTCCCCCCCGCCCCACACCAATTAAAAAAAACATTAATTGGTCACTCGCTTCATGGCTGCTTATGGGTTGTTGCTATGTGTAAATTGGCTGCCACGTTCGTCTACAGAATAATAATAATAATAATAATCCTTGCATTTGATATTGCGCTTTTCACGTCGGGAGGACGTCCCAAAGCGCTTCACAGAACACACTGTAAAGTGAATTGACTGTATATTTGTGGGCGAACGCGGCAGCCAATTGCGCACAGCAATGTCCCACAAACAGTCGTAGATTGAAAATGACCAATTTATTATTGTTTTTGGTTTTGGAGGGATTATTATTAGGCTCTGTGTGGAGTAAGGAAACTTGCCCAAGGTTTCACCCTCTGCCTGGAATTGAACTCAGGTCTCTCACTTGCAAAGCGAGTGCTCTAACCACTGAGCTGCAGGACTCTACGAGCTACAGGACTCCACAGTCATTGCACTTTACAGTAAATCCTGTGAAGCACTTTAAGATGTCCTCAACATAACAGGGGCAATATCAAGGGTAAGAATTATTATTAGTATTTGCGTCGTTTGCATTTGTTTTGTGCAAAGTGTTATCATGAGTCATAATTCCCCAGGAATCTGCACTACTAGTAGGTAATTCTTCACGCAGAGGAATCAATGTGTTGCCCGAGAAGATCTTAGATCCAGAATAAAGTGGGTTATTGAAAAGACACTTGGGAAGCAAGCCTATTAAGGGGGCTACGGAAGAAAGATAAGGCTATCCAATTAAAAGATTTTCCACAATATAATGAAATGGCAGAAAAGGTTTGACAAACTAAATGGCCTCCGTCTGTTCCTAGGCTTTTGATCATTCACTTTGTAGGACATTACTCTATGCAAATTGGATTCCGCATTTGCCTACAAACTACACTTCACAGTAAAATCCTAGGAAGCGCTTTGAGACATCTCAATGATGGTGACAAGGCGCTCTATCAAATGCAAGGATTGTTAGTATCATGCTGAACTGTTTGTTCCTAGGCCATGTGGGCCACTTACACATGAAAATTTCCCCGTGTCTTCAATGGAATTGAGGTACAGATCAGCCATGATTTAATAGAATGGTAGAGCAGGCTCGAGGGGCTGAATGGCCTATTCCTGTGTTCCTCTATGAAGTGCGCACTCTCTCCCTGGAATAGGTTTGTTAAGCACCTTGTGGTGTACTCCTGACGTGAAAAGCACTATATATATATATACACACATAAATTTGTATTGTGTTATGTTGTACTGAGGGACATACCCTGCTTAGCTAATTCCAGAGAGCATTGGCGCAGGTTAGCAAGTGCCAAGGCTCACGGCACACAAACAAGATACACCGTCTGTGCTTTACGGCCTGTGACAGCAATTTGTTCCTTGTGCTCAAGTCTATTAATGTGTGATACAGCTTATAAGCTATTTTGGAAGCAAATCAGTCAACTGTTTACCATTGATCAATGAGACACCAATGTAATGAAACAGGAACATGTGCAAATGAATGTCCTGCTTGTTTCCCTCCTCAAGGGCAAATATTTAAGACAATCACCAAAGGAACCGAAGATTTTGCTAAAACAAAAATCTTTACATACAGTGTTTTGTTGGAATGTGTAATTCTCTCCCACAAACTGTTGTGGTGTTAGAGTCCATGAATTATTTGAAAGGGAATCATACAGTTGCTTATTAAAGGATAATATTAAAGGAATATTAAAGAATGCGAGGATGGAACAGAGGGCAGACATTTCACCTGGATTTAGTCTGCAACCTGTTTAGCCTAGATGTTAAAGATAATAATAATTATTGCATTTGATATCACACCTTATCACATCGTTGAGACGTCTCAAAGCACTTCACATGATACACTGTTAACTGGATTGAATGTATATTTTGTGGGTGAAACACGGCAGCCAATTGCGCACATATCCCATGGCGCTGTTTGAAAAGAGAAGAGAATTCCTCCTGGTTTCCTAGCCAACAATCCATCAAACAACATTGGTCATTTACCTCATGGCTGTTTGTGGTACACTGCAAATTGTCTGTTGCATTTCCTGACAAAATACACAATCATTGCAGTTTACTCTAAATCCTGTGCAGTGCATTGAGATGTCCTCTTGACGTGAAAGGCACTATAAAATGCAAGGATTATTTTTCTTATTAATTAAGCCCCATTTTGTCTAAAAAATTAAGATGTAAAACACACCCAATTTTGGTCAATTCTTCAATTCACTAGTAATTCTGGATTATCAAACTATATAATAATCTTTGAATTTGATATAGCCATTCCTCTCCAAGGTCCTGCAACGAGTCGTCGCGTCCCAGCTCCACTCCTTTCTCTCTCGCCATTCCCTCTTTGAAGCCCTCCAATCTGCCCATAGCACGGAAACAGCCCTGATCAAAGTCACTAATGACATTCTGAACATCTGTGATCAGGGCTCCCTCTGCCTCCTTGTCTTCTTCGACCTCTCTGCTACTTTCGACACTGTCGACCACTCCATCCTCCTACACCGCCTCTCCTCTTTACCTAATCCTCGCGGACCTGCCCTTGCCTGGATCGAATCCTATCTCTCTCACCTTCTCCACTTTGTTGCCTCTAACAGTTTCTCCTCCAGCCCCCGCACTGTCACATCTGGCGTCCCCCGGGGCTCTGTCCTTGGTCGTCTCCTCTTTAATATCTACATGCTCCACCTTGGTGACATCATCCGCAGACATGGGGTCAACTTCCATATGTATGCGGATGACACCCAACTCTATCTTTCTGCCTCCACCCTCAACTCCAGGACCACTGCTGTCCTGACAGACTGTCTGTCGGACATCAAGTCCTGGATGAGGGAAAATTTCCTACAATTGAATGTGAACAAGACTGAGGTCCTCCCGATTGGCTCGCGCCAGCGCCTCAGCACCTCAGCTCTGGCAGCATCAACCTCCATGGTTGCACACTACAACTCACCAAGCCAGTCAGGAATCTAGGTGTCTTCTTCCCCACATCCAAACCATGACCCAGTCTATCTTCCCTCACCTCCGTAACATCGCCCGACTCCGCCACTACCTCACCCCTCAGGCAACTGAAAAACTTGTTCATACCTTCATCACCTCCAGGCTTGACTATGCAAATATCCTGCTTGTCGGCCTTCCCAACTCGGTCGGTCCTCACCTACAAAGCCTTCCATGGCCTCGCCCCACCCTACCTCTGCGACCTTCTAACCCCCTACCAACCCACCCGCTCCCTCCGCTCAGCGGCTCTGGCCTGCTCCACGTCCCCCGCCCCACTATAGGCGGGAGAACCTTCAGCCACTCTGTCCCCAACCTCTGGAATTCCATCCCCCAATCACTCCGCCTCACCCCCTCCTTAGCCTCCTTCAAGTCCCGCCTCAAAACCCTCCTCTTCGACCATGCCATCGGTCACCCCCCTTCCCCTTTCCTCCCTTCTCGCTCCCTGACCTCAGCTCGGGTCTGAAATGCTGTACACTGTCCAGCGCTTTGGGATGTCCTCCGGACTTGAAAGGCGCTATATAAATGTAATCTTGTTGTTGTGTAGCGCCTTATCATCTCGTCGAGATGTCTCGAAGCGCTTCACAAGATACACTGTGACGTGGTGTGACACTGTTAGTCCCTGTTGCTGCTTATCATTTCATAGCAGTTAACAACTCTGACCTTCCCTGGGAGTCAATAGTTCATGTTTACCCTGAATTCAATTTTATCCCAATTTGCTGCCGTTTTATTTGCTTATCACATCTCACCCAGGTGGGTTTAACCTTGTGGGATTGTCGTTGTGTACATAAGAAGTGGAAGGTTACAGTAAATGTCAGGCAAATTCACTCAGCCTCAAAAACACTAGCATAGTTTTTTTTTGGTCAGCCGGGTGTCTGGCACAACATGCTTAAGAGGATCCAAACCGAAATGACAAGCTGCAACAGGGACTAATTATTCTAAATTACCCTACCCAGAGGCAGGAGTATACACACGTGGGGATGAATTGCCTCTGGGTCTAAATTTACTCTATTTTCTTAGCATTTCAGAGCATCCAGAAATTCGGCAGATTGTTGAAGCCAGTTGTAGCTTTGAAGAAAGGTTTTCATGGTTCTCAAAACGACAACTTGCATTTATTTAGCGCCTTTCACGTAGGGTAACGACTCGGAGGGCATTACAAAGACGGGGCGCACATGGAGTTGTGGGGGGCATGGGGAGGTGCAGTTATGTTTTAAAGTAAGGCGGAGAGAGGTGACGAGGGGAGGGGTAGCAGGGGGGGATTCCCGAGATTAGAGGCGTATAATGTGAAGGCTCAGTCACCGATGATGGTGCGGAGAGGGCAAGGGACGCACAGCAAAGCGGGAATTGGCAGAGCAGAAGAGTGGAGTAGGAGAAGATGAGGGAGCACGTGCCAGGGTGTGAAGGGATTTACGGGAGAGGGTGAAGACCCTGTCATTGATTCGCTGGGATACAGGAAGCCAGAGCCACTTGGCGAGGATTGTGGTGATCGGTGTGTAGAGTGAGGATGCAGCTGTTGTTTTTTTGGATCAGTTAGAGCTTTTTTTTTTGGTCGGTCATATGTCTGACACATACAGAAACCCATCACTAAGCTTAAGAATAACAATTTGTTAATATCCATCCTTTCCAACTGTTTCAACAACAGCTTTTCGGGGCGCTTTACAGTGGCGGAGCCTGATACCGAGTTGGGGAGAAAACCATAGGCACAGTCAAAGAGGGAGGTCTTCAGGTGTGATCTGAAGATGGTCAAGGAAGGGACAAGGCGGAGGGATTGAGACAGGGGATTGAGGATTTCATAATCTTAAACACCTCGATCAGGTCCCCTCATTTGTCTCATCTCCAGAGAAAAGTTCCAACTTGTCCAACCTCTCTTGATCCACTCATCCCTATTTATTAGGTATTTAAATATCATACATTGTTTTGTTTAGAGAAAAAAATCCATGATGTTACCAACATTAAGCATTTTCTTCTAACTTTCAAAACGCCTTCATCTCCATCTCCTTCAATGATCCCTTGAGGTCCTTCTTCCCCGCCCACTCCTTCCACCTTGCTTTCCCTGTATCCCACGCACACTCTCTTACAGTTACTGACCTCCTCAGTGAAACATACAGCTGAAAAACGTGACTGTGCACCAACCCTATAATAATAATCTTGGCATTTGATATAGCGCCTCATCACTTCATCAAAACATTTCCAAACGCTTCGGAGGAGTTTACTGTAAAGTGTAGGAACTATGTATTTTTTAGGAAACAGCCGATTTGCACACAACAGTGTCCCACCTTGAATTGAATGACCAATTTTATCTGGAGAGGTTGTTGACCAGGTCACTGGGAGAGAGAAATTCCTTTCTCTTTTCATTTAGTGCCATAGGATCTTTAACATCCACCTGAGCAGGCAGACGAGACCTCGGGTTAACGTCTCATCTGAAGGATGCATTTACTGTAATGTGGAATGACTGTGTATTTTTTTGTAGGTGAGTTGACCTTAAAGGGGGGGGTGCACTGTGTTACCTATAACTGGTGTGTCTCCAACACGTCCGACCATTTTGTTGGTGATGCCTCCAGTGGATGTGGCACATGCCAAATTGCCCTCTGCGTCTATGGCAACAGCACCAACTGTATCATGTGCTCTGTAAGCAAATAAATCAACATTTCTGTCAGCCTGGGGAATCTGAAAGCAACTAGAGGCACCTTATTGAATTTTAACTTGGCTCAGTCATGTTTGGAACCCATCCAGTCATGACCTTGCATAGAAATCAATCACAGAAAACAGCCTCGATGGTGCAGTGGTTAGGGCTGCTATTTACAGACAAGGAGTTTGCAGGTTTGAATCCCGGTCTGTGCTGAGGTTTCTGACCTGAGCTTGGGTTCCACGGTGAGGTTACATTGGCCCAAGGTTAGGAAGAGACAAACAAGCCAAGGCCCATTCTCCTGGTCTCTCTTCAACATCTTTTACTGGTTGTGGTAGTCCCGTAGCTTAGTGGTTAGAGCACTCGCCTCGCAAGCGAGAGGACCTGGGTTTGATTCCCGGGCGGGGAGAAACCTTATGCAAGTTTCCTTACTTCACACGCCTCTGTTTACCTAGCAGTAAGCAGGAACCCAGTTGTTAGTCGATTAGCAGAACACTTTCTGGGGGTAATAATCCCTCCAAAAAATAAAATTTGGTCACTTAATCCACGACTGTTGTGGGACACTGCTGTGCTCTGTGTTTCTCCCCCAAAAATACATACTTTACAGTATATCCTGTGAAGCGTTTTGAGACTTCTCAAAAATGTGATAAGGTACTATATAAAATGCAAGTATTATTATTGTTATTGTGTTTGGCAGCTGGGTAGGGAGAGGTCAGGTTCGGCTATGATGCCTTGTTTCATTGAGTGTCTCGTTGCCAAGGCTCGGACATGAACAACGGTTGGGTCGTGGGGCATTGGGCGGAAACCAGCAACTGTGGAATCTAACCCAACCAGAGAGGGCCAGACCAGGAGCAGAGAAGCCATGTGTCAGTGGGGAGAAAATTAGAAAATAATTGGATACATTAAAAAAAACTGCCATAGGCCCCAGTTCAATATTAATTGCCTGTTAAGGATACCATGAGACTGTTCGAAAAGTGAAGGGAATTAGAACTGATATCAAATTCGACCATCTCCTGAGGCCTGCGATTCAATCTTCTCTTAATAGCCTTTGAGACTGTTTTGTCTCAATATTTAAAACCAAGTAGAACTGTGGAAAATTCTTGAATTAGGCATTAAACTGGACGCAAGTTTTCCCGCAATTCTTAGAAAGTTCTTAACTTTCACATCAAAAAATCCCTCCAAGAAGAACAAACAATAAAATGCACAATTGATTTCACTCTAAAATTTCGGAGTCCTGTCGCGTAGAGGTTAGCGCACTCGCCCCACGAACGGGTTCGATTCCCGGGCAGGACAAAAACCTAAGACAAGTTTCCTTACTCCACACGCCTCTGTTTCCCTAACAGTAAGTAGGAACCCAGTTGTCAGTCGATTAGTGCATCACTTTCTGCAGGTAATAATCCCTTCCAAAAACAATAATAATTTGGTCACTCAATCCACAACTGTGTACGTGTTGTTTGTGTGCAATTAGCTGCCAAGTTTCACCCACAAAATACACAGTCAATCCACTTTAGAGAAAATTCTGTGAAGCACTTTGAGATGTCTCAACCACGTGTTAAGACTCTATATTAAAACTAAACTTTTTTCACAAATCGGCACAATTTTAAGACAAAATGGCTTTGCCTACTAAAACAAAATGGAATTTCTGGCCAATGAACACCCAGATACATCAGTCATTCACCTCATGGGTGTCAACTGCGACAAATTGCCTGTCACGCTAACCTACAAATTACACAGCCACTACAGTTGACAGCAATTTTCTGAAGCACTTTGGGAATGTTTCTGGGTTATAGGCTCTCTATCAAATGCAAGAATTAACAGTAGTAATTTCCCCCACCTCCACTTGTTAAAATACGAATAATAATTCTTGCATTTGAGTAAGGAAACTTGCCTAACGTTTCGCCCTGCGTGGGAATCAAACCCAGGTCCTCTTGCTTGTGAGATGAGTGCTCTAATCAATACGCTACAGTAATACAGTAATACTGATCTTTCAAATCAGGAAGCCTTCTCAAAGCACTTCACAAGATCTACTGTAAAGTGTGTTTCTTTTTCTAGACTAACTGGCCAAGATGAGCCAATGTGCACACAGCAATATCCCACAAACAGCAACCAAGTGAATGAGCAATTTTAAATTTTAAGATTGTGCATGAACAATCTTTTTTTTAAAAAAAATACCTTGTCTATTTGAATAAGTTTCATTTCGCTGCGCATGGCTAATTTCTCTTGAACGCGCTCATTAATACTATTCCTTTGAAATCGACAGTGTGAGCAACGATGCTTTGGGGAGCGGCGTGAAGCAGAGCCATAGGAACTGAGAGTTTGGCATTTAGTACAAAAGGCACGAACGTCAATACAATATTCCTCCAGAATTGTAACACTGTCACTTCAACTCCTCCATACTACTTGATGCTTTGAAGAACACAGATTGCTGTATTATTGAATATATTGTGGAAGCTATTTCACATAAAGCTGCCTTGTTTGTTTTGACATCAAAAGCAAATATTTCCCAGTGGTTGAATTAAAAAAGAGAGCCGCATGTTATATGACTGCCAGCGCAAGACTGCTAACACTTCTTTGGGTAAGGGATTGCTGCGAAAAACCATAACACCTCACTCGGCTGGGAGAAATCTTCCACTGGAGACAATAGCAATAGGAGGTGGACTTTCAGCCGCATGAGCCTATGTTTATCTTCACCTGGATCCAACATCAGATCACACCTCAAGACCTTCCTGTTCCACTATGCTCCTGGAACCCTGTAGTATAGTGGTTAGAGCACTTGCCTTGCAAGCGAGAGGACCCAGGTTCGTTTCCTGGGCATTTGACTAAGCGCTTTATCACATCATTGAGAACATCTCAAAGCACTTCACAGAATATATTGTAAAGTGGACTGACAGTGTATTTTGTGGGTGAAACACAGCAGCCAATTGCACACAGCAGTTTCCCATAAACAGTCACAGATTTTTTTATTACCCAAAGAAAGTGATCCACCAATCTATTAACAGTCATAAGAACATAAGAACATAAGAATTTGATGGGTGAAAGAAACCAAGGTCCATCCAGTTCACCTTCCACCAGCCTGGCAGTCGCGTGATGTGTGATCAACCGGGTTCCTACTCACTGCTCGGTAAACAGAGGCGTGTGGATTAAGGTAACTTGCCTAAAATTTCGCCCCATTCGGGAATGACACCTGGATCCTCTCGCCTGCAAGTCGAGGATGTTCACCACTGTGCTACAGGACTCCACAGAACTTTTTATCTGTTGGTCGGATCACTGGGAGAACCTTCCACCTCTTTTAAATAGTGCAATGGAATCTTTAGCATCCACCAAGAAGTCAACACCTCAGTTTAATGTCTTACCCAAAGGACAGCACCTCCAACAAAGCAACACGACCCCAGTATTGCAATGGAGTGACAACCTCTGAGCTCAAATACGGTATCTTTGTTCTTTAATACACTGGAAGCTATGGAATATTACATTCCATCTCCTGAGGTGCACCTTTCCAATACAGTAAAATAAATAGACCACAGGAAACAGAATATAAGTGCATTTATAGTTACAAATGCCTATACATAAACTTATACTGGACTTAATGTGAACAAATTTTAACAAATAAACTGACAGTCACAGGGGCTGGAGCCGCTCTGTCACACAGACAGCTCTCGCTCTGCACAGACGCAGAGTGTGTGTTAGTGTAGGTCCTCTCAGCCACAGGGCACCCTAGTGGCTCCGTAGGACTCATGTCTATATAGTCACACCAGGTATAATCACTGAGTTCTTTTCTCTTGCACTGACAATATATCGGGAGTTTACTGTATATAGAATCTTTCAGATTGGGAGGATATCTCAAAGCGCTTGACAGTGCTGATGAGAGCCAAGTGGGTGGAGGAAGAAAAGATGACTGAAAGCTTGGTTAAAGAGCTACATTTTGAAATATGCCTTGAACGTGGGGAGAAGAGGGAGCGAGTTGAAGGGACTCCGGGATGGAGTTCCAGAAGAGAATGGAGAATAGCTGGAAGCCTGCCCTCTGATAGTGGAGCAGATAGGGCGAGGAACATTAGACGTCGGTTAGTGCTCTTACAGCAAAGGGAGGTACTGGATTGGTATGTTTGAAGGAGGTCTCAGAGTTAGGGTGGGGCGAGATGGTGGAAGGATTTGAGCGTGAGAACGACAATGAATTCAAAATCCTAACCTGAGTCCTGGGATGTGCAACCTTCTGACTCGGAGGCGAGAGTGTTTCCAACTGAGCCAGGCTGACCGACGGACATTCCCTGTCTCAGGAATGGAACCTATATGCTCCTAGGAATCCATCAGTTTCCGTGGTGCCTCTCGGATGAAGGATTCAAAACAGAGGAGCCCAGAAATCGCAAGATAATGATAATCAGTTCAGGAATAATTCAAGACTTTTATTTATGTATGAGGAACGCAGCCGAGAGACAGCACAGGGAAAAAAAATCTTAACTAGGATTCCTCTGCGTCACGTTTACCAGCAGCAGAAATGTCCTGAGTGGCCCTAATGACATAACTGTGGCAGAGCGGCACTTAAGAAGAGATTGATGGACATAATGCTGCAGTAAACATGTGTATAATTTGCATGTAAAGGATGATGGAGGCACTGAGTGCTGTGTGATGGACCTGGATGTGTTACAGGCACAGCTGTTCAATAACAAAGCTATTCAGGAGTGTCGTTCTTGAGTGAAAGCCAGATCCCTTCCCCCCACCTAACACTATCTGTTCAGCCACCTTCCCCACCCCACCCTCTCCTGTTCAGGTGCCGTGCCAGCTGTGAACAACAACAACATCTTACATTTACATAGCGTCCTTCACATGGGGAAAGTCTTGGGAGCACTGTGTAAAGCGCTTTGAGATTCCCGATGTGAAAGGCACTATATATAATTGTATTTGCTGGATTTATATCACTGGAGATGATTGATGATTATTTCCGCCAGGAAAAGAGATTAGCAGCGACCAGTGCGTTTTGAATTTCCCGCTGGAGTCTGGGTGCA